GCAACCATCAAAGTCTGTTTCTTTGGGTATGAAATTCTGTTCTTAATGAACAACAGTGGTCTCACACAATTTGTGTCCTTTGGTGATTGGCTAAATTCACTCAGCATAATGCCCTCTCAATCCGTCCACACCCTGAGGTGTTTCACAGAACATTATAAAGATTCATTAACCTTCAATGTGGTTGCTCAGTATTCCATTGTGAGTATGGACCAAAGTTTAAAAGAAAAAAAGATGCAACTATTAGAGTTGGGAAGCCATTTTTCTTAAGTGTTTCCAAGTACCTTCCACAGGCCATTGCCCAGTCTTTTGGATGGAAAACACAATCAGTACATTAGAGGAATCAGCCTTCCCCTCAGTATTGACCGGAGCTTGCAAAACATGATGACTGGCTGTGATTCGATATTTCCAGAACAATAATGAAGTTAATGGATTTGGTTATCTCGATGGAGGAGGTAAACAGAAGCAGCTGCACCGATCAGAGCACTTAGGGCTCATGGAAGTGAAGATGGGGGACAGCTACAGGACTCCTCAACACTGACAAAAGCAGCTACTCATCCCAGAGCTAGGGGCCCTACTGGCACAATGGTTCAACACTCAGCTGCTAGCCTTATGGTTGTAGGTTCAAACCCACCCAGTGTCTTTAGGGAATGTAGTTTTGGGAACAATCAACCAAATGAGATCAATAGGGCTGTGTGCCCCGCCCCACCCCCCCCAAAGCCCCGCCCCAGAAGGCAGAAAAGGGCAGGAAGGAAGAAGGACTAGAACTGGGGGAGACAGCAAAGAAGTGGGACCTTGAGGGGATTACACCTTCTGATAAGAAACAAAATGTGGCTGCAATATTGACTAAAAACTAAAATGCTCAGTGAACTTTCACTCAAACTCCAGTTAAGAAAACAATCAAAAAGAAACGAAAAGAGATGAAAACAATCAAAAAGGGCAAAACCGCTTTGGGCTGTTCTGCTCTGCTGCACAAGAGTCAAAAACCACTCCAGGGCAGCCAACAAGAACAATAGTGCGGACTCAGTACCCGGATTGCTTCATTTCTTCCTGTTGTAATTAGATTTCCATCCCCAGTGATTGGGAAGCATATTTTCCTTCCTGCATATAACCCACCCACACCTACTTTAAAATGGAAACTAAACAAACCCACTGGCCCTGAGTCTGTTCCAACTCACAGTGCCCCTACAATAGGGTTTCTGAGACTGGACATTTTCCTGGGAGCAGACAGTCTTGTCCTGATTCCTGAGGACTGACTGGTGGTTTTGAACCTCTGACCTTGCAGTTAGCAGCCCAACCCCTAGTGCACAGCACAGTACTGTGCCACCAGCCACAACCACCTGTGTAACACTTGGAAATGACGAAATGCTGTAAACCATTGTGGATAGTGTGCCCACAGTGATACCTGCATGCCTGGTCATATTTTCAGAAGTGAATTTCTACCGCATTCACCTGTCCTCCTGTCAAACAGCTCACTGCCATTAAGTTGATGCTGACTCATGGTGACCCTGTGGGACAGAATAGAACTGCCCCTTGGGATTCTTAGAATATAACTCCTACTCTAACACTTAGAAAGCCTCATCTTTCTCCCATGGAGTGGCTGGTGATTTTGAACTACTGACCTTGTGCAGTTAGCAGATAGTGTAACTCACTATGTCCCCAGGGCTCCCTCCATCCTCTCATATTACAGGTAAATTGTATCATTCCTTTGTGTTTTAATTGCTATGTCCTGAGGGTGGGTATGAAAGTAATCTTTCCTAGGCCCTGATGCATTCACACTCTGGTTTCTTCCTGGCTTCTTATGGCTCTATTTACAGCAAAGACTCCAATCTTTTCCTAGGAAATTACACTCTTTCCACTTTGTCTATGCTTTGGACTCACTGGGAAATACTTTTGGCTTGGATTTCAGTAATAGAAAATCAATACCGACCTTAAGTGCAATGCCCATGGGATCAGAAATAGAAATTGAAGTCAGCAAGGAGCAGATAAAGCAAAGCAAAACTAATGCACGGCACACGGGGGGACAGGAGGCATGCACACAGGGAGGAAGGTGTGGCCGGCCAGGAAAACCAAGGGCATGATTTGCTTAGAGCCCTGGGTCCTCCTGCAGGCTGGCTCTAGGAAGGAAGTTGCACAGTCAGACCCCAGGGGGTCTGTGTGGGCCCTGGAGGGTGGTGACCCTTAGCACATGATGAAGATGCTTGGAAGGACTTCAAGGGACTGTGAGGAAGTCGGCTCCTTTCTTCTGCCTGACTTTTGGTCATGGGATTTAGAGGTAGGCCTCAAACCTCCCCCACAGTCTGCACCAAGGTGTGGGTTAGTCCACAGTTAGCAGGTTCTGTAAAGGGAGCAGATTCCTCAAAGATCCAGGTTTCTGGATGATGCCGCCAGTGAGTGATCAGCTGCTAACTTAAAAGTTAGTGGCTCCAACCCACCTTGACCCCTGCTCTGAGCAAGAAAGACCTGGCCACCCCCTCCTGGACAGATTCCAGGCAAGAAGACCCCAGGGAGCTGCTCCACGCTGCACCATGGGAGGTGGTCCCCAGTCAGAATCACTCCATGGCAAAGGTTTGCTTAGTTGTTTGTTTGGGTCAACTTGGAATACTACCTTGGAATTTTTGAGAATCGTGATGGAATTTTGCTTTTTTCTTGAATGACAGAGTGTTTGTAAAATCATCAATGGCCTCATCTTGTGGAAGTCATCCCGCTCCAAGCTTTCTCTCCTTACTGGAGAACAAAGTGACGGATATCAACATCTGTCACTCAGGGAATGTGTGTGTGTGACATCCTGCTAACTGACCTCTTTCTGTTCTAACACCATTCTTCTACTTGTCCCACTAAGCCAAAGAACAAATCTACTGCCTTCGAATTGATGCCCATTTATAGCAACCCTTTAGTACAAAGAGGTGTTGCTCCTGTGAGTTCCTGAGACAGGAACTCTACTGGAGTAGAAAGCCCTGACCTCCGGAAGATGGCTGGTTTCAACTGTAGGCCTTGTTGTTAGGAGCCCCTTTCGTACACCACACTATCAGGGCCCCTAGTTGTTCCATTGAGAGACTCCATATCCTAATGTTAGAGAAACTGACCATGATCCCCCCCCTTTTGTACCCACCTGCCATTTACACTTGCTCTAAGGAACTTTAATGCAAATACTACCTAATTTCACCAAACGTTTTTTTAAAGTTGGGTTACCATTTTATCTTATCTAAAATAGAAGGACCCTGGTGGCGCAGTGGTCAAGCACTGCTCAGTTAAGCTGCTAAACTCAAGATTGGTGGTTCAAATCCACCAGCAGCTGTGCTGCAGAAAGCCTGGAAGTCTAAAGGTCACAGGGTCGGAAACCCTATGGGGCAGCTGTGCTGGATCCTACCGGGTGGGTGTATGTCAGAGTCAGCTGGATGGATGTGCGTTTTTTAAATTTTTCAATTAATTAATTGAATCATTTTATTAGGGGCTCATACAACTC